TCTTTGCATTGGGTCAGTTCTTTTGGGTGCTTCAGTTTTTGAAAGATATGATGGCAAGTTTGGGAAAATGGAGGGAACAGCATTTTGTTTCAATTTTGGATATTTCAAAGGTATATTATTTTGGACTGTTCCATCCGCCAAAACTATATTTTCTGTCCTGATGATATCCGATTCTCTAAAATGACGACTGCACACAGCTGAATATTTTGAAGGTGTCCAATTTTTTCTGGGAATTGCCATAAACCATTTGTTTTTCAGACTTTCGGTACTTGGGAAGCGAAAAGTTGAAACATAGCTTTCTGTTTTCAAAGCAGAATTATAGTTTGCATTGCATAAAGGAACACAGCAACAATGAGGCATATTGTCTGCGTCAAATACTTGATAAATGAAAAAAGAAACAACCTGAATTTGCACGTTTTCAATAGTTGAAATCCTTAGCGTCCTGAGGCGCGAACAGCCACAGTCACACTTCTTAGTTTATTTTTAAAGCGCAGAAGCACTACAACTGGAGTCTATTTCTCATATATTATAGTCACCGATCACTTTGAACACATACACACACTTTGAAGCTTAGAAAACAAGCTTATCTCTTAATTACAGCCTCTCGGATTCCCAAATCACAAATTGAAAAGGTTATGTTTTCTCAGCGTTTTGAGCACGAGTTGCGTCGATGCAGCAAGCAGCGGCGGGAGTAACACTACCACCTACGTTGCCAGATTTCTTTGTTCACGGCTCGTAGTTGACGTCGGCTGTGGCTCGATATACGCGGTACCGAAAACTTACCGAGCGCCTATATTTCAATGAGTCCTTTCTGATTAGCGCAGATTGTACGGAAGCGCGGAGGGATCCGTTCGGTTTACCGCGTCTCGGCTCGTCCAGGCGGCGCTCGGGATTCCCCGCAAGTATACGTACATACATGCACTGCAAAATGGCGAAAATACATTATTTAACTTTAGTATTGGAAATTGAAAAGCATCCTGTGTTGTTTAATTATAGGATATGTTTCTTTTGACATTCTATACATAGATAAAAATGTTGTATCATCATGCGAAAGTTCTTTTGCTGCAACAAATAGTCGACAGTCATTATTTTCGATGTAAGGATGATGCCAACAAGGTTTTATTTTTTTACGTACACGAAGATACAAATAACACGCCAAAATATCATCATCACTAGAACTCGAAGACATGTCTCCACAAAACGAGCCGTACTGCAGAATTTCATACCGAGAATATACCGAGTAATGCGTAGATGGGAGCAATGCGGTATTGATTCGGTAACAGAGCATACCGCCGCCGCGGCGATACCGCACCGACAAGTCAGAAAACGGCCTTAAGTAATAATTCTTAATCAGCTACCATTAATTTTGTTTTGTTTGTTCTATATTATTTTGTATACAGTTTATTTGGTTCTCTGTTTTTTTCTTGTCCCAATTAAAAAAATAATTGTGTTAGAGCCATTGAGGTTATAAAATCACTCATATTCTAGGACCAGTGTAATAAATTCCTGTTAAGGTTGTTCTCATATTAGAATAGATCGTAAAACCTAAGATAGGCATTTTGCTGGTTAATCAACCCTTAGATTTTACAAGGTGTCGCATATGACGAAAGGCTCATTTCTAACCTCAATAACTCAAAAAAAGTTGAATTCTGGCATGGACGCTGACCCATAAAAAATGTGTCAGACCATAAAGAGAATTTCAAAATACAAAAAGGTTTTTCCATAAAAAAATGTTTGGTCCGCTTTCACTTTTGGGATACCCTGTAAATCATTTTTTTTTAATAACAATTTAACTTTTTTTCAATTCCTTAGAATAGGGAATCTAGGGTACTCCGTCAAATCTTTGACCCACCTCGAACAACGAGTCTAGGGGTCTTCAAACTGTTAAATTAACTTTTCTCTTTTTCCACGCACCCTTCACATATTTCTTCTTGTGATGAGTCCTATACAAATTGCCTTTGGCTGATGGATAATCGATATATTTTGTAATCTACCTTTTACAAACCTTCCAAATATGTTCTCCAAGAAATTAACGGACCATCAAAAAAAATAGCCAAGATTACAATAATTTTTTGCACGAATCTGTTGCCTCATTTCAAAAGTAAACAAAACATGGTGAAAAAGTAACATGAATAACGAGTATCCCGTGTTTCTGCAAAGAAAACATTCAATCACACATAAGGATAGGATATCTGAAAGTGTGCATATTTAGCATGAATTTGTGTACAATTTTGAGGATTTTTATGATTTGGCCCCCTCTGAGAAACCTTGCTCGTTAAAAAGTTTTAAGGGGCAGGTACTTTTTCACACAAAGTTACCTATTGCCGATGATCGGTTCCTCCGAGGAAAATTCCTGCGGGCGCCCATGGATGTCGAGTAATTACCTTTTCTTTATCTTACAAATGAAACAGGAGGCATTGAAAAGTATATAAAAAACAATTGCTCCAAACATGTATGGTTTCAATTTGAACTCAATATTGAAACTACTGAATTCCACGCTGAAAAGCATATATCTAGTTGTTGCAAGACTCTTCATACAGGCTGACCTGAAAGTTGGGAATTTCATTTTCAGGAACAGCTACACTTGAAATGACAAAGCTACTGTGTGGTGAAACCGTAGCGGAAGAGTAAAAAAAAATAAATGAAAAAGTAGTCACCGTTCATTTGCAGAGAAATTTCTAATACAGGTTTTGCGTCGTGAGTTTTGAGCGACTTGGGATAGATATTACATTTGATACTTTCAGCTCATGTGAAATATAAGAAAAATTTGATTCAAATATGATTGCAACTACATACAATTCTTTGCCTTGACATTTTCCAACACAAAAATAGAAGAACTCTTATAAAAGAACCACTTGATTATGGTATAAGAAACAGAACTACGAGCCCCTTCCCACTTCAGTTGGCCCACTTCAAGATTTTTACCGAAATATAATATAATACTAAACATGACGAAACTATTTACATCTAAAACAATTTATTTTCTCAAAAACATTTTAGATACACTCTAGTCGTAAAAAATACATATTTGAAATCACTTAGACCTATAACTAATAGAACATCTGAACAAATAAACAATGTTAACAAAGCAACAATTGAAAAATCACCATTGGGTAACATCACCTTTATTTTTTATTACGGCTGAAATTCTTTGGGGCATAGTGTTAACCAAGTTTTGGCAAAAATTTGGTGTAAAACAATCCCATATTTCTTGAAGCTTTTGTCTCAGTTCGGTGATTGTACGAGCAGGATGTTGTCGTAGAACCTTTTTCGTCTCGTGCCACAAAGTTTCAATAGGTGACAGATCTGGACTGCTAGAAACTCATTTCAAAAGTGGTACATTATTTTCTTCCATCCATTTTATAGCCTTTTTGAGGTATGGCACGCTGCACCATCTTGCTGAAACACAAAATCTTGGCCGGATGTCAAACATTCTTCCATCACTGGTAAAAGCGATGCTTCTAAAAGTGCCAAATATTTGTTTGTATCCACATTTCCATCAATAAAATGAAGTTTTCCTACTCCTTTTGATGACATACTGCCCCAGACCATAACGGATGCTGGAAATTTCACTTTTCTCTTCAGACAGTCAACATGGGATGCTTCATTTTTTTGCGAATAACTCTACCATTGTTGAGGTGTCCATTGTCTATGTTCTTTAGCCCATCTAAGCCGATTTTTCTTTTGCAGTGGAGTTAATAGTGGCTTTTCTTTGGCCTATAAACAAGTTGTGCAACTTTAGGGTCTTTACTTCACTTTTTTTAAAAGAAAACTTACCTTGCAAGTGCTAAATCCCAGTTTGTGAGCCTCACTATGAGTTGTGGAGCTCGAAATTCTCTTTCCAACAGAGTCACCCCACGGAGCACTTAATTGTAAATAATTGGCACACACATATCGTGGCTTAATATTAACTGAACCAGTTACGTTATATCTTCTAACAATATTTCTCACACTGTACCGCGATAAGACTAACAAAGTTGCAATTTCTGAGTTTGATTTCCCAGAATTAAAAAATTTAATTATCAGTAACCGAATTTTCTCACTAATAACCTTTTTGAAAACCTTAACAGCCCAAAACTATTTTAAACGTATTCTGACAGCTGTGATTAATAAAAACAATTGTCATGGCTTTTATTTTTCACAGCCACCTATGCGTTATAGACTTATTTTGCATTGAAATGAAAATAGGTTGATATGCTGTAATTGCAACATGTGTTATTTTTATGCTGCAAATTTGATTAGGGAGTGCTGAAGTTGGTGTTTTCTACTATATATACGTATTATCAAAATATTCATTGTTAATATTTTAAACCTATAACACCCTGCTACATTTTTATTATTTGTGTTTGATAAGAAAAAAACTAAGATTTCAATAGTTGGGCCAACTGAAGTGGGAAGGGGCTCGTATAGTGATTTGTAAACCTCAAAAAGATTGTCAAGGTACCATATATACAAGGTGTTTTAAATTCATCCCCTACCATTGAGATCAAGGAGACTGTAAGAGATACGAAGTCGTTTAAATGAGCACAAAATTGCGTACTCAGGTAATCAACAAACTGCCTCTTAGAAAGTTTCTAAATTCAAAGTTCTTCGGAGAAAGGCGTAAAAAAGAATTTTCCCAACATCGTTTTATTTTTTCCTGACCTTAATTGTAGTGAGATATCAAAATAAATTGCACATTACCATTGCCACTTCTTCTCCTCCACAAGATGACATAATTAGAATTTCAATATGACGTTTCATCTCTTGCTTTCCAGCATCAACTTTATTTCTTATTGAGGATGGATTCTGCAGATATAAATAGAGCTTTTAGTTTTGATTCCAAAAATGTATATTACGTCACGCATTGACATTGCCAAAACTTAATTATTTCAGAAAAGCAGAAATTCCTAAGTAAACCAAAATCACTTTTATTTTCCCTGACCTTATTTAAGATGCGAAACCTCATTACAAATAAAGTAAGAAACAACTTGAAGCGATTTTGGGAAAATTTGGTTTCTGCCTTCTCTCTCCGGAAGTACTTTCTAAGAGGCATTTTGTCGATTACCTAAATACGCAAATTTGCCCCAATACAACCGACTTCGTACCTCTAATGGTTTCCGAGATCCCAATGGTGAGGGTCGAATTTGAAACACCCTGTATATGTAGGCCCAAGATTATATTCTGAAAAAATATCACTTCGTTAGGTTTATTAATAAGAGAACTGAAAAAATGGTTGTATGAGGTTGGTACCTATAATGAAAACACCACAACTTGTTGAATCATGAAATTTTTTATTTTGTTTACTTTTAAATGTTATTTTCAACGTTTTAGGATGTAAGTTTGTTGTTTTGTAGGCTAAGGCTCAAACTAATATTTGAACCGCCCTAGTTACGGCTACGACTTTTGTGGGTTTCTATCTGCTAATTTGCATGATTTTGTATACTTTGTTGTATTGTTATAATAAACCAAATATTGATTGACTGACTGAATCATAGAGGATCATATGTTCAACGTTTTCCATCACTTAAAAGAACCAACAGACTGTAGACGAATTTTGCCGAATCATTGCAGCTGGTCGGGAAATGCTGAAGAGAGAGTGAAAATGAATTTGTGCGTGAAGAGATTAACAAACAAGTATAATTATGCTGATAGATGTCTAATTGGACTTTCGTTTGTATCCTCTCGGTTGCTGTACCCCACTTTCAGTTTGTAAATTAGCGTAAATTGTAACTTCTAATTTCCTTTCGTACAATTAAGCGTATAGTTAGAGATCCGGATACCATGTGTTCGTAAATTTTAAGAGATATGGTTAAATGAGACAGTGACATAATCTTTCGAGTAAATTGTACTTTCTTTGTTTATTACAAGACATTAATTCAACAGAGAGAACATTTGCGAACATTTTATTACGCAAGCTTGGTCAGTTCTTGAAAATGAGAAAAAGAAGAATGAATGAATGAAAAGTGAGCGTGGTTCTATCACTATTCTTGATCAATGTAGAAGAATCGCTCCACGAGTCATCAGAGAGTTTTTATTTTAGTGCAATTTGTATAGCGTTCGTCACGTTATTTAGAGTGAAAGCAAGTAACTATAGCTTAGAGCTTTGTTTTCAATAATAATAATAATCCTTATTGTCACAAAATACAGGTAAATATCAAATATTGTGCGCAATAAACATAAAACACACAAAAAAGTTTGCACTTTTGTTTGGGTTTGTTAAAAATAAAAACTAAAAGTATACTCGTAATCAGTGTTTGAAAAACGTAAGTGCTATATAATTTGGTGAATTGAATTATTATGGGGATGTCAGGAAAAATATCCAGACAATTATATCTACATAAAGTAAAAGTATGGATGTTAGTGTAAGTACAATATGTATTATTGATTTTGGTAATGATTTTTTATATCTACAATTTCGTGGATGGAGCATCTTGGTTGTTGTAAAATCCATTTTTTGAGTTCCTTTTTAAATGACATTGATTTAATTGCTTTTAATGACTCTGGTATGAAGTTATAGAATTTTGCTCCCAAGAAAAACAGAGATCGTTATGTAATGGTTTATAATTTTTATGGAATACACATTGAATTTTAATTGAATCTTGTTAGGTAATTATGAATGGTACGATTCAAGTATTTCGAATATTTAATAATATAATGTATTAGACCACAATAAAAAACAATGTGTCTGCAATCTAATAGTTGAGCCTCCATATATAGAGCATAACTTGAATAAGTAATCTCCTTATTTAGGACCAATTTTGAATTAATATTTGGACTACATCAACCTTAATTTGGTAGACAACTGACAATCATGATAGGTTGCTTATTTTTCACTCCATTTTAAAACCTTTGTAGAATTTTCGGTAATATTTATGTCATGATTATTACGAACCCTGAAGCGACAGGTGACACAAAAGTAATAAGTGACATGAAGTGACAAGTGCCAAAAAACCAGTACAATTGACTACCTTGCCAAGTTGCGTATACAGGGTTATCCAAATTAAGTGTCCACCATTAGTAACTTTGTTATTAGTGAAAATACAAAGTTGTTTGAATTAGCAAACTAGTAGCATTTTTAACGCTGGTAAAAATGAGAAATAAAAAAAAACAATTGAAAGTCGTTATTTTGATTTTTTTCAGTAAAATAACATTTTTTTAAATGGAAACCCCTGTATATTATATTTTTTTCTGTTAAAGCATCAAATTTTAAACAAATAAGCTTACAATAACTTTTCTCCTAGGTTACAAATTGTTGAAGTTATGGCCTCCAATCTGAAACAATTAAATTGTATCGACAAACTTTATTTTCAACATCAACTTATAATCTTACAAAATACAATAACAATTTTTTTTAAAGAAGATGCTCGAAAACACCACCTTGTTCTTCAATACATTTTTGGGCACGTTTTTCAACTGCTCGAACTGTCTTAAGTATGGTCCTACCATCTATCTGGGTTATCTTTTCCCTAACTGCAGTCTTTAACGCGTCAAGGTTATCGTACCTTCGCTTGTAAATTTGGTTCTTTAAGTAACCCCACAAGAAGTAATCAAGTGGGTTTAGATCTGGTGATCTGGGAGGCCACTGTATTGGGCCATTTGTTCCTATCCACTGATCATTAAAAGTAGTACTTAGAAAACGATAAGTACCTCTGGAGTTGTGGGCAGGTGCGCCATCTTGCTGAAAATGCAGATGATGTCTACTTATAAGATCCAATTCGTCTAAGAAATTAGTCAGAATTTCTGACATAAATTCCACATATCTTTCACCAGTTAGGGTTCCCTCATAAAAGAACGGGCCAACAATTTTTGAACCAATTATACCGCACCAAACGTTGAAACTGAAACGGACTTGTGGGCCTCTTGGATGTACTAACAAAAGATTTTCTCTTGACCAATAATGGTGGTTTTTTCTATTAAACATTCCAGAATTTGAAAAATTTGATTCATCTGTCCATAAAAGGTAACGAAAGTTATTTACATTTTGGCGACAGAAGCTAAGATACCAATGGCAAAAAACAAGTCTTCTCTCTGGATCCCCTGCCAAAAGCGTTTGAACTGGTCGGTACTTATACGGAATAAATTTGTATTTTTTTAAAATCCTTTGAACAGTACCATAACTGAAATTAGAGTCCTTGAGAATATCTGCTATTGAATTCTCACGATAAGCTTCAAAATATCCAATAACTGCAATTTCCGTGGCCTCGCTTATTATGAATTCTTTTTTTGCCCTTGTTTTAGCAAAAACATTTTCGTTGCCCCTAAATTTTCGATAAAGTCTCAGAAAATATCGTTCATACGGTTAAATGCGAGCGGGATATAATTCACTGTAGTATTCTCTTGCTCTCAAGGAGGATTTTCTGCACACTAAATAGCATTCTAACATATATCACACTTTTCTTCATGGGAGAACATTTTTCTTTAAATTAATGACACAATAAAGCTTATAAACAAGTATTTACACTAATGTTTGACATTATTTGATTTTATCATTGTTTTCCAAAGCCTTCTAGTTGCGAGTATGTCCAGTTTAACAATTTGTCGCTTATCTTAATGCTGTCAAATCGCGAACGCCATGTTGTTTTCATAGCCGTCTTAATATTATAATACTGCAAATAATTAAAAATATTTATCGTTATTTTGACTTTATTTTTGACTTTAGCGGAAAAGTCATTATGAACTTTTTTGTTTAAAATTTGATGCTTTAACAGAAAAAAATATAATATACAGGGGTTTCCATTTAAAAAAATGTTATTTTACTGAAAAAAATCAAAATAACGACTCTCAATTGTTTTTTTTTATTTCTCATTTTTACCAGCGTTAAAAATGCTACTAGTTTGCTAATTTAAACAACTTTGTATTTTTACTAATAACAAAGTTACCAATGGTGGACACTTAATTTGGATAACCCTGTATAACCAAAATCAAATTTAATTGATTTAGTTCACTGCCTATTTTCTATATATGTTTTTATTACTTGAGATTATTTTGTTTGAACTTTCTCAGCTTTGCGAATTCCGGCAACAGTGCTGAGTAAGGAAAAACTAACTTCGCGAAGTAAACTCTCCTTTATTAACCGTAACTAGCGGAGAATCTTGTTTGAACATCAAAGAACTAATAATTGTCTTATTACTTCGCAAACTCAGAATAAAGAAGATCATAACGAGGCACTGAAATAAGAACACTAAGAAATCTCTATTCTCGTGATAAATAGCAGAAGAAACAGTGCGGAAATTCATTATTCGTATCCCTAAAAACAAAGTTGCTTTATAATGAAACATTTACTGATATAAAAACCTACGAAGTTACCATTTTCCTGAAAATGGACGCATTCATCAACTTATTTGACAAGCGTACAAATTCTATGCTGGATCTTTCTTGAAGAAGTTTACATTTCTGTTAGAAGTATTCGATGGTATTCCATAGCAAAAGCACAAACGACTTTTCAGTCGTGTATCGTAATTCCACATAAACTGAACTTGATAGCTAAGAAACTAACCAGATACTTGATATTTCGTCCTAGCATTCTTAATGGTTGTTGTTCCAAATTTGGCGAATGTTGTAACCATGAGCGGCCCCCAGGGGGTGCCAGAGAGTACGCGGCCCGTTCGCAGCATTTACTGCCAGAAGTCAATTTGTATATTTGAAAAAATGCCTACTCCCGCTTTTCAAAAAGTTTTGGGAATAATACATAATTATAATACATAAAAAGTTTAGTCTCGCCGATATCTAATGTCTGCGGACGCCCATGGCTATAAATACTTGAAAATATTATCAAGATCCGGCTGAACTTTATATCATGCTCTATTAGACTCCAATTATGGGTTTTTATCATAAAAAAATGAAAATCCATTACGATACCTTTGCAGGGTGACCCAACCATACATGATCTGAACTTACAAATCATTGCGCACCAAACCAAGGTTGTACGCTTTTTATTAAAATTCAACGTTCATTTTTATATTCTGGTTGGCTCATTTAAAGAAACGAGATCTATGTAACATACTTATATGTTTTGATGATTAGTTGCTGAACTATTAGTTATTATGCCTGAAAACCAAACGACGCACGTTGGTTGAAGCGTCCAAAGAATGTTGCCAAAACTAGAAGAAATGTTTCGCGGTCGCTGATAAGGAATATGATATCTATTTTTCAAAATCAAAATGACGTATCCAATATGGCAATATTTTTGCAAGAAAATGTTTGTACTATGTTCAAATTCATGCTTTTTATGTTTTTGTGGTCGCTGATAACGAAATTAGTATAGATTCTCCAATCACAATGGATGCAATATTAACTTATACTATATGATCAAGCATTTCGTGTAATTGTCTCATTTCTTGAAATGGCCCACTAAACCTAAAATATACCCTAAAAATGAAATGAAAATTAAGATGAATTTTACATACTTAGAATAATATAGTAGTTTAGTAGACAAGCACAACATTTTAGCTAGCATATGATTTTAACTTCAATTAAGTGGACGATAATGTGATTTAAGAGTGAAGTACTAACCTACGAAACATGGCCCAAATTATACAGCTTTTTGACGTATTTACGTGGCCTGCATAGTACATGAGTACCTTTCAGTACTAGAATCTTTTAATTTCACTTCCTCCCTTATTTGGTAACGAATTATTAGAATGTTTACTTAAAAAACAACTTTTTTTACCATCGACAACCGTGCTGAAATATAAACAAAGCGCTCCCTGCGGCTTCATCAATAATTAATGTAATTGTTTTACTACTTGAGCAAACATGCCTGACCATTCAATGAAGTAGCCGAGGGTTTAGTTAATCATATTGAAAAAAGATTTGCTCGATCATTTCATGGTCAATTTTACGTATGGCCACGACATATATAAATCGAAATATACTAATAATTAATACCTAACTAATAACAAATGTAGATAAATAAAATTTTAGCAAACAACAAAAAAAACATACCAATTCTCTAATAGTGGTTTTAAATCTCGACAAAGGAATGCCCAATGTTTCAATATTTTTAATATATATATATAAGATTCAGTGTCCTCTCAACATGCCAGTGCATAACATAATTTGTGTTATGACAAAATAATGTAAATAATTGGTTCACGCTCAAATTAAGTGATGTAACATGTGCTGGGATTGGAAATGAGGAGCTCAGGACACAGCATCTGGCTATTTAATAGTTTAAACACGAACAATAAATCAATATGAGGAATATGTACGCAAAAAATATCTTAAGTGCGCTCATATTTGGGTTTTATATGTTTTCAAGGTATGCAGCGAAAATTGACATATTTCTTAACTACATATCTGATACACATGCTAGCATTCAAAATTGATCGCACTCTAAGGGGCTTTTATAAACTCTTTTTGAGTTCACTAATTCACTATGAATAACGAAAAAAAATATCAATTACATATTGTTCTATCGTGTCGTGTCGATTGGTAAGTATTACAAAATAAATATGCTCTGCTTTCATCCGACCGACCAGACTGCCAATAATGGTCCGCTGTATCGTGCTTTTTGGCTATTCTTCAGAAAGGTCTAGGCTTGGGTCTCTCGGCAACGAACGAAAGCATAGCAACTATACACTATACAAAGTGTATGTTGTGTGTTGGGACTGTAAAAGTCCGCGAATTGGATTCCCAGTCACCACGTGACCGCTAAATTGCTAGGATTTTGTATAATTTTGATGTGGTCTACTTGAGTTTAAACATTGAACAAAATAATTTTTTATATAATTATATGTAATGTTATATATAATCGTCGCCATCTAGCGGTGAGGTGGTGCCTGGGCCTCCAATTCCCGGACTGACAGTTTCAACCGGTTAGCGGCGATTCACTGTTTCACAGTGGTCGATTCTAATGGTAGATGGTGCTACTCGCTATCTTATTCCGAAGTCATATCATAATTATACATATATTCTACATCCATTTTGTCACATCTCGATAAAACTGATTATTTCAAAACGTGGCACTATACAGTTGTATACCTTTTGCCACGGACTTCTTGTAATATCAACGTAAGTTGCGACAAACAGTCACTTCACTATAATTCCACTTACAAGCCACCTAATTGCAACTAATGTTATCAAAATATGAATTATGCATCCCTCTAACTGTGAACGAAACCTTGAGTCAAAGGCGAAAAAAAAATTTTTGGACTTCAGTACACGTTTTTTTGTTTTGACTGTGCGTCGGCAGCCCATATCTTTGTCACACTTACACACGCTTGAATCAAACACTTGACAAACGAATTCTACGCCAACACTACCAATATGCATCTAATTTAGAAACACGGTCTATTTAACACGCGCAACCTTATCAGTTATCTGTATTATTTATATTCAATTTGAGCTTGTTCGGCAACGCCAGTTGCTGCACTAAAATTTAATGATCTTTTGTTACACGAGTGGCCGGACCATTAACAACATTGTTTACAAAATGACCACACCAAGCATTCGAAGTTCTTTGTCTTTAAAGTTAGCACAGCAAGGTGAGCAATCCAAAAATGTGTTGATTCCATAATTCTCACTACTATCGGAGAAAAGATCACGTTGTGCCTTATCTTCCGCCTGTTCCTTGTATGCTGACCATACAAAGATATGCCTATGATAATATCCTTCAGCGCGACCTCGACAGTGCTTACAAATGGTCCAGGAGATGGCTTGGAGAAGTACTATGTTGGGAAGAGCAATACAACGATCAGCTACATCATCGGAAACCAGGATATCTCCTGTCTCCCCAGTTGCATAGATTTGGGAGTTGTTGTATCGGATAGTATATTATGGTCCAAGCATATCCAATACTCAACAATTTAGGGAACCAGGCCATCTCCTCTCCAGTCACCTAGACTTAGGAGTTGTTTTATCGGGTATTCTGTCTTGATCGAGCATATCCAATACTAAGCGACTAAGGCCAAAGCGGTCTGTTAATTACTAAGACTTCCTGCAAGGAATATGGCAGTTCTGCTGCTGGCCTCCTGTACACGTCATATGTTGAGCCAATTATGGAATTCGCTGGGCCTGTAAACGAAGTAATCCTTATAGAACGTCAAAGGTGTGCTTTTCTTCTCGTGCTCAAAACTTTGCGAATTAGAGCTCTATCACTTGTCATTCTCATGGTTCATTGCTTGTTTATTTTATTTGGTTATCAAAATTGGCAGAATATGCAGGGGGACAGAAGTTTGGCAAAATCACGTTAACACGTACAGCCCTCTGTGCGGGGGTGACACCAACGCTAAAATCTTAAATGGAAAGGGGGGTCGTGTTATACCTTATATTAAAGGTCTTTCAATTCCCTTTATAATGATGTAAAATACCTGAGCTTCAGTTCAGTAGTTTTGAAGATTTATTGATTTAAAGCTTAAAGTAGACTTCAGATCAGATTAGTTTGTACTACTTTCAGAAGAAATTTGACTAAAAGAATTCACTTAATACGTAAATGCTTTTCTTCACTAGGCCCATGGTTTGTTTATCATTTTGTTGTTGAAACTAGCTATTGGAGCGTTTTTTGTGGCAAAAAAGTTATTTCTTGAAGAAAGATAAGGAAATGAAACAGCCGCGCAGGTAGAAGCCTAAATGCCGGAACATCGCGGCTGCTATGATGATCCCAAAGAAATTTTGTTAATACGATTTTTGAACTGCCTAAGGTTAATAGAACTGGGAAAAGCTTCCTCTTGTAGATTGTTCCACAATCTCGACACCCTCGGGACAAAGGAGCGGTCGTATCGGCCAGTTCTGGATGTACGAAGTTTGACACGGTTAGGATGGGACGCCGAAGTCAGGCGAGTCTGTCTGGCAGGCACATCGCGCGGCGGCATCATGGAAGAGAGCTCTGAGGAGCAAAGCCCGTTGGTGTAGCGATAGAAAAGAGCTAGATCGCCGACGGCCCGCCGGTGCGAAAGAGTCCCGAGACTGTCTGTTAGAGAAGAGTCGTCGATCAGTCGGACCGCCCTCCTCTGGACAGCATCGAGCATGGACAATGTAGTCGGGGCGGCAGCATCCCAAATGTGTGAGCAATACTCGAGGCTAGGCCTTATCTGGGCCTTGTATAGAGTGAGAATGTCATGCGGAGAAAAGTACTTCTTAGCCCTAAACAAATAGCCTAGCTTTTTCCCAGCAGTTGCAGCTATTGAAGAGATGTGTTCGTGCCAGATCAGGTCCTCGGTGATCTGGACTCCGACCAGCCGAAATGAATAGCTCTTTGGTAGAACTCGACCATCCATCGAAACTGTATGAGCGCTAGGACGCTTTTTGTTCGTCAAAGTACAGTACTGTGTTTTGGAAGCATTGAACTGTACAAGATTGTTGCGTCCCCAAGCAGTGATAGCCTCCAGGTCTCTTGTCAGAGAAGAAGTCGTCGCTAGTCTTCTTTTTTCCAGCTCAGCGGCAGAGATCGGCTTGTCACTCTGGATTCCTGCATGTAGAGTGCTCTCATCAGCGAAGCTGTGGATTGGGTTGATCGTGCAGGAAAGGAGGTCGTTGATATGTAAGAGAAACAGTGTTGGAGCCAAGACCGATCCCTGGGGAACACCCGCGTTGACGTTGTGGGATGACAAGGAGAATCCGTCAATTACGACGGATATCTTGCGGCCAGAGAGAAAGTCAGCCACCCATCTGCAAAGCTTTTCTGGGAGGCCATAGGATGGAAGTTTGCTTAAGAGGGCAGCGTGCCACAGCTGATCGAACGCTTTCGTGATGTCAAGAGCAACGACATGAGCCTCACCATGAGACTGGATGAGTTTACTCCACAGTTGCGTGACGTAAGCTAGGAGGTCCCCTGTGGATCGTTGGTGCCGGAAACCGTACTGCCTGTCGCTAATCAAGCTGTGACGTTCGAGGTAGTCCAGAAGCTCGCGATTTATGCACCTCTCCATCACTTTACTTATAACAGAAAGCAGAGCTATAGGCCTGTAGTTGTAAGGGTCGATTTTAGATCCTTTTTTGGGATGGGCTGTACATGAGCAAATTTCCAGTTTTCTGGCAGGAATCAAGTCCGGACCAGAAGCTTTGTTGATGTCGAGCGACAAGAGCACTCGTCTTACGGTCTTATGCCTGAATGTTACCTCCCGCATAGTGTGGGGAACCCTTTGGGAACCACTTGGGCGTTGGTGGGGACGTCCATGGTGGAGTTGGCAGCAAAGATCTTGGCTAGCACTTCCGCCTTGGCCTTTGAGTCGAATACAATAGTTCCATCTTGACACGTCAGTGGTGGAAGGCTACTGTGTGAGAAGTTCTTTTCAATCTGCTTGGCCAGCGTCCAGAAAGACCGACTGCCATTGCGCTGCGACATTACCCTGTGCCTAACTTTTATATCATGCTGGTTTTTGGCATTGCGAACCGCTTCGTTATATTTGTTTCTGGACTCGACGTCGGCTTGTCTGTTCTCTACAGTGGGGTTTTGTAAGTAGGTTCTGTGGGCCTTGATCTTCTGCTGGCGAGCAGTGTCACACGATTTGTTGAACCAGCCGTTGTACCCTGGTTTAGGAACTTTCACTGTGTGAGGGATGTATTCCTCCATTCCGACGTGGATAATTTCGGTTATTGAAGAACAGACAGTCGACGCATCCGCGTCAGTGAAACAGACATCTCTCCAAGGAAAGCTAGAGACGAAATCTCTGAGCCCCTCCCAGTCGGCATGTCCGTAATGCCAAGTTTTGCGGCCTGTGCGAGTTTCTGCTGCCACAGCGGCTTCTGACCGAAACCTAACCTCCACAACACCGTGATCTGAGTTACCCAGGGGGGACAGGACAGCAGTGCTGTAAGGGGTAGGATGCGTGGTCAGAAAGAGATCCAGCAGGCTACTGGCGTGTGACGAGACGCGGGGGAAAAAAGTAGGGCTCGTGACCAGCTGGGTCAGCCCTTGAGAAAGAGCGAACGCTTCGACTGCACGACCTGCTGCATCGGTCTTATTTGAGCCCAACCAAAGCTCATTATGGGCATTGAAATCACCGAGAAGAACTACCTCTGAAGCGGGGTGATTGATGTTCAGGAAGTCGATCTGGACGGCGAGGTATCCGAGTGGGTCATCCCAGTTATGGTTCGAGGGAGAGCGATAAAGGCAGCAAATAAATTTGGGTGATGTTTTGGAGCTGAGGCGAAGCCACAGAATGTCCTTCCGGTCTGATTCCAATGAAAGATCCCTGGAGCAGGAAAGACTGCTGCGGACAAAAGCCACAACTCCCCCGTTCTTTCTCAGATTGGAGTGCACCTCGTAGTTTGGGAAGTTGAGATGGTTAATCGGTGCAGTCTCTGAGATTTTTGTCTCCGCCAAGAAAAGCACGGCGGGACGATTGGATTGCAGGTAGTGATGAACAGCATCGATGTTGCTGTTGATCCCGCAGATGTTCGAAAAACAAATTTTATCTTCGATGTTGTTCCCTCGACTTATTTTAAATAGGAATTTAGTACATAGTTTGCGATTGATTTGACCAAACTTTGTTGCTAAAATAACTTGTAACGCTTTATTACATAAATTAACCATGGTATATTCCACAGCAGAAAGAGTTGAAATTATCGAAATATTTTTCGGATATAATCAGTGCGCTAATAGAACAGCAGAAACATTTAATCAGCGACATGAGAACAGTAACGTGCATCAAAAATATGTTCTAGAACGTGTAGCTAAATTTCGGGAAACTGGGTCAGTCGCCAATAAAAACGCAACATTGAAAATCCCATAAGGAACAAAGCAATAGAAGTGGGGGTTTTAGGGCAAGTTCATGTAGATCCTACATTAAGTACCCGCAAATTGGAGACTGTGTGTGGTGTTAGTCGATGTACTGTCCAACGGATTCTAAAGGCCCATAGTTTTCAACCGTATAAAATTCACCTGGTACAAGAACTTAATGAAGACGATTTTGATCGGCGATTACATTTTCTATTCAACACTTGCTTTTCCGACGAATGTTCCTTTTTCTTAAATGGCGTAGTAAATCGTCATAACTGCCGATATTGGTCCGATTCTAATCCCAGAATTTATCATGAGGTTCTTACACAGCAGCCACAAAAATTAAATGTTTGGGCTGGTATTTTTGGCGATCATTTAGTTGGTCCTTTTTTCTTACCTGGAAATTTGACCGGTGAAATGTATTTGGATTTACTGGAAGACGCCATAGATTCTGCATTAACAGCCATAATTGAAAATCAGAATGATCGGCGGTACATTGCGAATAGGTTGATGTTCCAACAGGATGGTGCCCCACCACATTACGCATTACGTGTTCGACAATATTTAGATCAGA